AAGCAAGCAACTAGAACAGGAACAGAATCAGAGAAATGGACATCACAAGGAGGAATTTCAGTGGAAAGGGGGAAAGGAGAAATAGGGGGGAAAAGGTATAGGGAAGAAGAAGCATAATTAGTAGGCATAAAATAAACAGGGAGAGATAAAAATGGTGTAGGAAACAAAGGACTCAAAGAACTTACATGTACAACCCGTGGACATGAACTAAGGGAGGGGGGAATGCTGAAGGGTTGGGGGGGCAGGGTAGGAGGGCGGGTAAAGGGGGGAAAACTGGGAAAACTGTAATAGCATAATCAATAAAAATACTTTAAAAAACATGTATATTTACTTATATTAAGAAAGACAAAGAGCCCTGGCTGGCGTAGCTCAGTGAATTGAGCATGGGCTGCAAACCAAAGCATCGCAGGTTCGATTCCCAGTCAGGGCACATGCCTGGGTTGCAGGCCATGGCCCCCAGCAACCACACATTGAGGTTTCTCTCTCTCTCTCTTTCTCCCTCCCTTCCCTCTCTAAAAATAAATAAATAAAATCTTTTAAAAAACTGTTTAAAAAAAAGACAAAGAAAGAAAAGGAGAATGACAAGGAGAAGGAGAAAATATATCATAGTTATCTCTGAGGTGGGATTACAAAGGCTTTTCCTTTAAACTTTCCTAAAATCTTTTCAAATCATCTACCATTTATTCATTCATTCAACAATAGCTATGGAGCATCTACTCTGTGCCAGAGATATATGCATGATCAAAATAAAAACTATGTTACTTAGGGACTTTCACACAAAATTGAGGAATAGGTGGATGCACTGTACCTCCACGCACAACCAAGATTGGACAACAACAATTTAGAGGCAGAATAACAACCAGAACTGACAGAAAATTTATCTGAATGGAAGTCGGACAACCAAGAAGTTGAAATTGACCCGTTCATCCAGACCGGTAGGAAGGGCAGAGTCGGGCAGCCGGGCGCCAGGTGCAGGCGGTGAGCCGAGGGCATTGGGACTGGCGCGTAAGGCATCTGAGGCACAGAAGACCGAAGTGGGTGGATCCTGAGTGTGCAAGCGGCATCTGGCAGACCCCAGCCAAGGGGTGGCAACTGGCAGTCTCAGTGAGGTGTTGATTGTGAAGCAAAGCACTGCGTGCAACCCAGGATCCCAGCACCCTGGAGACAGAGCCTCAGGACACTGATTGAGGACATCTGTGGGAGTTGAGGCACACGGAGAGACACCCAGCCTCACAGGAGAGGTTCTTGGAGGGTCCCACGGCATGCACAAGCCCACCCACACAGGAAATGACACCAGAGGGGACCAGTTTGCTTGGGGGAAGCAGCAGAAGGGACTGAGGTCCTAAGGAGAATGGAGCAAGAGCCATTGTTCCCCCTCGACCCAGCCCCCACATACAACGTCACAACCCAGCAACTGGGGTTCCCAGCCCTGGTGAATACCTAAGGCTCCTCCCCTCACTGTAACAGGCGTGACCAGACCAAAAAAAAAAAAAAAAGAGAGAGAGAGAGAGAGAGATGGCTCAAACAGAAGACCAAATAAAAGCCCCAGAACCCATCCTTTTAAGCAACCGAGAGACAGCCAACCTATCAGATGAACAGTTCAAAACAATGGTGATCAGGAAGCTGACAGAATTGGTTGATTTTGGTTGCAAATTCGATGAACAAATGCAGGCTACAATAAGTGAAATGAAGAAAAATACACAGGGAACCAATAGTGATGGAAAGAAAGCTGGGTCTCACATCAATGGAGTGGACCAGAAGGAAGAAAGACACAACTACACAGAAAAGAATGAACAAATAAGAATTCAAAAAAATGAGGAGAAGCTTAGGAACCTCTGGGATATCTTTAAACATCCCAACATCCAAATTATAGGGGTACCAGAAAGAGAAGAGGAAGAGCAACATGTGGAAAAGTTATTTGAACAAATAATAAACTTCCCCATTCTAGCAAAGGAAATGGACTTCCAGGAAGTCCAGGAAGCTCAGAGAGTCCCAAAGAAGTTGGACCCAAGGAGGAACACACCAAGGCACATCATAATTACATTAGCCAAGGTAAAAATGAAGGAGACAATTCTAGAAGCAGCAAGAGATAAGGAGACAGTAACCTACAAAGGAGTTCCCATCAGACTGTCAGCTGATTTCTCAAGGGAGACCTTGCAGGCAAGAAGGGGCTGGAAAGAAGTATTCCAAGTCATGAAAGACAAGGACCTACATCCCAGATTGCTCTATCCAGCAAAGCTCTCATTTAGAATGGAAGGGCGGATAAAGTGCTTCTCAGATAAGGTCAAGTTAAAGGAGTTCATGATCACCAAGCCCTTATTTTATGAAATGTTAAAGGGACTTATCTAAGAAAAAGAAGATAAAAAAAAACATGTATAGTAAAATGACAGCAAACTCACAATGATTAACAACCACACCTGAAACAAAAACAAAAACCAACTAAGCAAGCAACTAGAACAGGAACAGAACCACAGATATGGAGATCACATGGAGGGTTAGCAACAGGGGTGTGGGAGGAGGAGAGAGGGGGGAAAGGTACAGAGAATAAGTAGCATAGATTGTAGGTAGAAAATAGATGGGGAGGGCAAGAATAGTATGGGAAATGTAGAAGCTAAAGAACTATGACACATAGTTCTTGAACTAAAGGGGGGAACATGGGTGGGAGAGGGTGTGCAGGGTGGAGGGGAATGAAGGGGGAAATCAGACAACTGTAATAGCATAATCAATAAAAAATATTTTTTAAAAAACTACTTACTTATAAAATCAGGAAAGCAATCAGTATTATTATAATTAATAAAATTATCTGCACAGCATGGAATTGTCTATGTAGCATAGAACACCAAGCAATGTAAACAAATAATGGAATGAAATAGAACAGTTTCTTCAGGATCAAAATGACTAAATAGGTGTTGGTCCTAGAAAGTCCTTTAGCTTCTCTGTGATGTACATTTTGGTTTCTCTCTTAATAACACAAACTTTTAGATAACAACTTGATAACTTCTCTTCAAGGGCTAAGGTTAGAGTAGAGCACCTTCAGAGAAAACATCACCACCATCACAGCAGAGTGGGTACAAGGACTCTAGGCAGGGAAGCTCTGAATCCCAGTGGCAGCCATTGGCACACGCTCTGAGCTCAGCATGAATTCAGAATCAAAAATGGTATCTTACATGGGTTATGTCTGAAATCACCCAGACTCCTAATAACCAGAGAAGAGGAGTCTACTTCCAACCTTAGTTAGAAGGGATCAAATATAATATTTAAAAACACCTTGGATAAATGCTGCCAAAAATATGTCTGTCATAGTAAAGACTATAAAATATAGGCCCAATTTTGAACAGAACTTTTATTTTCTATTTGGGGCAATGATGCACTTGATTGACTCACTTACTCAGCTGTTATTTACTGAGCACCACGTGTGAGAGAGACACATGCCAGGTGCCAGGAGGAAATGATGAGCAAGACAGGCATATTCCCTGCCTTCTTCCTAGTTAAGCACTTACACAGTAACACGGTTAAATAAACATGTATTTCAGGTAGTGGTAATACAGGTGAGGAAAGAGGCCTATTTTAGATAGGATGGTTAGGAAAACACTCTTAGAAAAGATGGTATTTGAACAAAAGCCTGAATGAAATAAGGGAGCTGGTCATGAGAAGACTGGGGAAAAGTACTCCAGGCAGAGGGAGGAAAAGGCCAGAGCAGAAGCCCTGCAGATGGATGAGTCAGGTGTGTTCGAGGACAAGCACAGAGGCAAGGACAGGGAGAGCAGGTTGTGGTGGAGGGCCAAGGGGAGTGGGCAAGGTCAGAGATAGCTCATGTAGGGCCTTGTTGGTCTTGCTGAGAAGACTGAATGTTGATGTGTATGATGGAAAGACACAGGGTAGTTTTGAGTAGGAAAGAATTGTCATCTTTATGTTTTCAAAATATCACTCTGTCTGCAACATTGAGAGTAGTTTGCAGGGGCCAAGACAGAAGCAAGGCCTCCAGTTAGAAGTGGCTGCATGAGGAAAGAAACGAGGTACTCAAAAGGTGGAGGTGGCCATCTGTAAAAGAAGGATGATATTGTTGGCCAAATGGGCCCCTTGTTTGGTGTTGGGAACCCCCGCCAAGGCTAAGGCTGAGGGAACGCCCTTGGAACCCAAAGCCAGCAAGGAGACAAAAGCTTATCTCCCTGGCAGGAGTGCTGCTTCTGCTGCTTCATTCATAACTGAACCCCAAAGCTTGGTCAGTTAGCCAATGATGGGTAAGATTCCCCAAGGGGGGAATGACCTAAGACAGGCACAATCACGTGGGAGGCCCCCAAAAGAAGGACTTGGGGTGCTGCAGCAAAAGGGGGTGATGGACCCTCGCTCCTCGGCTTTGACATAGCCTGAGTTTTCATCGTCTGGGAGAAAATCTCCTTATCTCTTGGTTGTCTCACTTCCTTTGCTCCACCTAAGCCTGAAACAATGACAGGGTGGTGCAGCTCTGTGCTGAAAAGGGCAGATTCCCTGGGTGATCAGGCCTAAGAATGAACATGGAAATTACTGTGAAACCTTCTTTGTTTAGAATGCTCTCAGTTGAATGAGAAGGGTCCAAGGAGAAGTTAGTTTGTTCCTCAAAGTCTTACAGCTCTTTGACCCTGACTCAAAACAGGCCCTCAGACTTCCTTGTTATCTATTGTTCCTTACTTCCTCGTAATGAGTGACATACTTTACCTGAATTATTACGCAAAACGAGCCCAGTAAAAGCAGGTTTGGATGGTAAATTGGTGCGCTCCCCACTAGAGGGGGTGGCCATCCCGTCCCTACTTCTCCACAGAAACTAATCTGTCTCTATGCATGTTTTTTCTCGAGTTTCGACGAGCCATTCGCAGCGTTCCGTGATCACTGCTGGCCAGTGACCCACGCATCAGTTTGGATTCTGGCCTCTTTACATGTTGCTTTGCAAACGGTAGATACACAGTAAGTGCTTATGAAATGTCCACATAAAATACTTTAACTGTGGTGCTATAGAAGACAACCCACTGGATTCCCTGAACTCCTCAAAGGAGAACAGAGAAAGAGAAACATGCTCATCAGTATTTAAGGACCTGTCTCCATGTTTCCAGTATAGCATGATATCTTCTTCATTGTAGGCATCTAAAACAAGAATAGAATATCCTTATAATAATTTCCTGTAAGCTCCATGAGGTCTCCAACCATGTTTTATATAGCTCTGGATCCTCAGTGCCCAGTCAAATGGCATGCGTAATTAGGAGCCGAAAAATGTTTGCCAATACCCACACCTACCAAAAGAAAAAAAATCTCCAAAAATTAGTCTGATGACTGACATAGTGTGGAGTCTTTTCTTGTGTCCAGGAAATGACAAGTTCCCAAATAGCTGCTCCCATGTCTGTGGGCATTGAGTGATGTCACAGCAGTGCCTGGTGGTCACTGACCTGACCCAACCCCTGATCTCTAAACCCCTTTAGTTTTATAGATCTCATGGATAAAATTCCAAATGAGCTGAGCTCCTAAAGAATTTTCTCCTCTAATCAAATTGTGTCATAGAAAGTTTCTAATGGATTTGAGGAGGAGCATCTATGTAGGAGACTTTCATTGAAATTCCAGCACTTTAGCCTCACCATGAAACAGCATGGCTTCCAGTCAAGATGGTGACATAGGCAAACATGGTTTGCTTCTTTTCACAACCACATCAAAATTACAACTAAGCTATAGAACAACCATCATGCAGGATTGTCAGAAATAGAGTTGAATGGAAGTTGGACAATTTTGGAATTAAAGAAACCACATCCATTCAGACTGGTAGAAGGGGTGCAGACACAGAGCAGGCTGGCCTGACACACACGTGGATGAAATTCAGGAGGAATATCTTGGGAGCAAGGAGTCCCAGACCCACACCAGGCCCCCCAGCCCAGGATTCCAGTACCAGGAAAATAAGACCCCACAACTTCTGGCTGCAAAATCCAGCAGGGATTGAGTCAGTGGAGGATGCTGCTGTAGCCCTAAGCAGTTCCTCTTGGAGAACCCACACACAGACTCACCTACTCAGACTCGCTCCCTCTGAGCTCTAGCACCTGGGTGGCAGCTTGAAGGGCACCAGCAGTATACAGGGAAAGACTGAAGTGTCTGGCATCAAGGCAAGCAGAGGCCATTGTCCCTTTGCTGATCCCTCCCCCAACAGAGCTGGTAGGCTAGTGCCATATCTGAGACTCTATTAACCTGGCCTAACACTTAATGACCCACCTTGGAGATCCACAGAGGTTCTATCCCACCCAACTTACTGGCCCACCCAAGCTGGTTTTCCTTAAGAATGGCTGGATTTAGCTCCTAAATAAAACAAGCAACAGCTGGCTTTAGTGAGCTCTAGCAGCAACCAGATTGGAGTCACAGCTGGGCTTTACCTGGAATTCTCCAAGTCCAGCACAAGTAGCAGCCATCTCAGATTGCTTCACAGCTCAGGCAGGAAGTCCTGAGTAAAACACAGGTGGGGGCTGACCTTGACCTGTACCAAACAGGAAACCCTAGGGCCAGCACACCCAGTGGACAGCTACAGACCATGTCAGAGCACCACCATCCTGAGCCTACACAGCTGATCCTCCATGGAGGTTGGTGGTCAGTGGTCACAGCCAATCCTTGCCACTGACTGGCCTGGGTAAATCTCTCCCATTGATCTGCCAACAGCAATCAAGCCTCAACTATAAGAGGAGGGTGTGCTCAGCCTACAGAAAGGACGTACCTTGAGTATTCAGCTTGAATGATAGGGAAGGCTGTGCTACTGGACCCAATTGAACACTTACTACAATTAGGCCACACTACCAAGACACATATTCAAAGCAGCTCTACCTAATACATAGAAACAAACACAGTCTTTGGAGACTGCCAAAAGGAGGAGACCAGGAAACATGACCCAAATAAAAGAACAGATCAGAACTCCAGAAAAAGAGCTAAAGGAAATGGAGATAAGCAACCTATTAGATGCAGAGTTCAAAACACTGATTATAAGGATGCTCAGGGAACTTAGTGAGGACCTCAGCAGCATAAAAATGACCCAGTGAGAAATGAAGGATATGCTAATTGAAACAAAGAACAACTTACAGGGAAACAACTGTAATGTGGATGAAGCCAAGAATCAAATCAATAATTTGGAACATAAAGAAGCAAAAAACAACCAATCGGAACAATAAGAAGAAAAAAGAATACAAATAAAAATGAGGATAGAGTAAGTACCCTCTGGAACAACTTCAAAAGGTCCAACATTTGCCTCATAGGAGTGCCAGAAGAAGAAGAGAAAGAGCAAGAAATTGGAAAGATATTTGAAAAAATAATGAAAGAAAACTTCCCTAATTTGGTGAAAGAAATAGACATGCAAGTCCAGGAAATGCAGAGATTCCCAATTATGATGGATGCAAAGAGGCCCACTCTAAGACACATCAATATTAAAAGGCCAAATGTTAAAGATAAAGAGAGACTCTTAAAAGCAGCAAGAGAAGTTTGTTACCAGATGGTTGCCAGATGGGAGGGGATGTGGGAGAATGGGTGAAGAGGTGAGGGGATTAAGAAGTATAAATTGGTAGTTACAGAACAGCCAGGGGGATGTAAAGTACAGTACAGGAAATGGAGTAGCCAAAGAAATTATGTGCATGATATGACCCATGGACATGAACAAGGATGAGGGGATTACCTGATAGAGTAGCAGGCGCTGGGTGGAGGGGGGCAAAGGGAGAAAAATCAGGACAACTGTAATATCATAATCAATAACATATAATTTTTAATAAAAAGAAAGAAGAAAAACTGCATTCAGTTTTTAAGATGTCATATCAAAAATAGCTGATGGGTCACAGTGATTGACAAGGAGCTGGCTCAGCTGCCCTTGACAGAGTTTTGACTAAGGGACTATGTCTAGAGCTAGGTTTTGTGGGGAACCCAAGTGCACTTAATGAAAGATTATAACTCATGGGAACATTAATTCCAGAGTTTTCCAAACTTGCAAAGTCTGTGCCAGTCTCTGTTAATAACATTAACGAGAATATACCTTCATAGGGAGCTGTTTCTTTATAACCATTGTGGAAAACAAAAAGTGTATAATTATCAAAGCATAATTTTTCCCCTAAATCTTCTCATTTGAGAGAATTTGCCATCATCCTTGTAAAAGAAATAAAAAGCAACTACATATTTTGGATAAATACTTTAACTTCTATCAGATTTTTAAATCCCTGCCAGCACACTTTTTCATGTGCGGGTTTGTGACAGTAGGTTCTGACCGTGCACGCACTCCCCCAGACATGAGACGTATAGCTTTCCAGCATAGCGGACAGTTCTGAGTGTCAAGGGGAAACCTGCTGACATCCAGAAAGCAAATGGCATAAATGGTTATCCTATAACAAGAATAAGAAAAAGAAAACTGCAGATCATTTAGCCATGTGGCCAAATAATCATGCAATACTGAAGCTCTCTTACTGCTTGCTTGTTTTGTGTACATTTCAAGAATAATGCAAAGCAGGTGTTACCATATTCCATCCAAATAACTAAGGAAGCAAATCCAGGAAGGTGGATGATTTGGTTTACACACAGTTAATGGATGAATTCCTACTCTAATAATTGCTTCTGATCTCACCATTTCCTGGCCAGCTCCCTCTATATTTTCTGGCTCCAAAGTCTTCCAAAAAATACACTTCAAGTGAAAATACCTTTAAATAGATTTAAATATCTTCTGCTTTTTGGAAGATGCAAACTTGGTTTCTAGTAATAAAGGGCTGGAATGGTGGTAATCAAAACCTGTGGGTAAAGGTTTCTCTTACAAAAGAAGTTTACCTGAGGAAATTCTCTTCTCAGGAGGGAGGAAAAAGCCCAGAGCATTTTCAGTTATAGATTTATGTGCACAATGCATAATTCAGGTGCTATTAAGTTAAAAGGCTTGCATAGTGATAAGGATTGTTTTTTCAAATTTTATATTCTCCTACATTTTCCTGGCTTCAGGCAGAGGCTGTGGTACTATGATCCTACCTCAAAGTAGAAACTCTAGTACCCGCAATAGCAGATCAGAGGTTCATAAAAGGCCCCCAAGTGAGTCTGCAAAAACAAAGGCAACAGCTGCTCCTACCCATGGTGCCCTCAAGTTAATAGAGAAGTAGAACTATTTCATCTTTCACAGGGTGAATAGTCACTAGCAAAACAGCATGCCAGGGAAGTGTCTGGATGACTTAGTGTCACACAAAAATCCTTACTTTGACATATTCCTAGTACTTTAAAGTGGGAAGAGACCTCTGACATCTTTGAGTCTACCTTCTTTATAGTACACATGAATAAATTAGCCAAGATGTTTAGGTGGGTGATTAAAAAAAAACATTATTCATAACATTTGTTAAAGAGTAGTAAGGAAAATTTTATTGAGGGGTGGACCACAATAATGGGTTTTTAATGAGGGAGAACGATTAGGCACAACTCCAAGTACACACACACAAAAAGTGGGCATTTAGAGCCAAGGAGCAGGATAGGGGTCAGTGGGTAGAAAGTTACTCAGAGGAAATATCAGGGGTGAAGAGAGGTTCTGGCTAAAGGGATTCTTGCTGAAGGCAGGCCTGAGTGATCAGACATTACCTGGAGGTGGTGGAGGATGAGGAACCGATCAGATATGAAGGGTGTTCAGATATTGAAGATGGGGGAAGCAAGCTGACTTGCCTTAGCAGTCATGAACACAAAGAGCTCAAAAGTCAGGATCGGGAAAGAGCTCAGAGAAGCCTGAGTGGAGTTTGGTCCAGAAAAGAATTTTGTCAATACATGGCGTCAGAACTGAGCCTGGAACCAGGTGACCTGGCTCTGGGCCTGGACTGGCTCTGTTCAGCTGGAATAGCTATGCTGCCAATAATTCTGAGTCCTCCTGTGTTCAGTGATTTCCCAAATACACTCTCAGTTCAATGATTAGCTAGGACTCACAGAACTCATCAAAGCTGTTACATTAGAAGTTACCATTTATTTGCAATGAAAGGATACAGATTAACATCAATGCAAAAGTGCACAGAGCAGGGTCTAGGACAGACCAGGAACAAGCTTCTACTTGTCCTAGTCTATGATGGAGCTAATTCTCCTAGCAATGCTGTGTGACAACACACATGGAATATTGCCAACCAGGGAACGTACTGAGTCCCGGGGTCCAGAGAATTAATTGAGGGCTGGTCACATAGGTTTGGCTGACTTTAGTCTCCAGCTCCTCCAGAGCCATCGTATGGGCTCAAGGCTCCTATCATAAATCACATAGACAATCTGGTGTGGCCCATGGGGGAAAAAAACAAAGACACTCTTATCAGACAGGATATTCCAAGAGCTTGGAGGTTACCTCCCAGGAGCGGGACCAGAGCCATCTTTGCTTAGAATGTGCAGGTTCTGGACAATCAACTGAGTTAATTCTTTAATGGATGTGCCTTCATCAAAATAATTAATTTAAAACAGTTGATTCCTAGTGAACCTTGACTCCAGTACTCATTAGAATCCTACTTCAGTCCTGATTTAAAGTACTATTGAAAGTTTTAATTGCATTTTTAAAAAACATTGACAGCCTTTATGAAATGTCTGACAATAGCATCTTTGTACTTAAGTGAACAATATGTTTTTAATGAACAAAAGAATCTGTATTAGTTTCCTATGACATTGTAACAAATCACCACAAACTTGATGGTTTAAGACAACAGAGACTATTATCTCACAATTCTGGAGGCCAGAAATCTAAAATCAAGGTGTCAGAAAGATCATGCTCCCTCCAGAGGCTCTAAGGGGAAAATTCAACCCTTGCCTTTTACAGCCTGGCAGCTGCCAGCATTCCTGGGCTGGTGGCTGCATCGCTACAATCTCTGTCTTCATGGTCAGTTGCCTGGACTCTTCCTCTGTGTTTTCCTTAGAAGGATCCTTATGGTTGCATTAAGGTCCCAACCAGATAATCCAGGATAATTTTCTTATCTCAAGATTCTTAACTTAATTACATCTGTAAAGGCCCTTTTTCTGCCACTTAGAGTAACCTTGATTGATTCCAGGGATTAGGGGCAAGCCACTTTTTCAGCATACTTCAATACCTTTCTGGGATTTCTAAAACAGGAAAAAAATTAAATTACTTTTTAGAATTACCTATGATAAGATATTTAGTATTTATTAAGCTAAAATGACATGTGGTACATTAAAATGGAAGACTGTTCCAGCACAATGTCAGAACTAATGTTTTTTGTTTGTTTGCTTGCTTGTTTATATGCTTGTTGATTCTGGAGAGAGAAGAAGGGAGAAAGAGAGAGGGAAACATCAATCAACCATCTCCCTCACACACCCCAACCAGGATCAAACCTGCAACCTAGTGCCCTGACTGGGAATCAAACCCCAACCTTTTGGTTCATGGGATGACATTCAAAGAAACAGAGCCATATCAGCCAGGGCAGAACTAATGTTTTGAACAAAAAGCATGGAAAAGGAAATAGGGAATTTAGCAGGAACTTGCATGGTGACTATACCTTCCCATGGGAAGTGAAGGAGACAGTTAACAACAGGATTGAGCTAATCCAAGATTCCAAGATTGCTTGGTGTGCAGGGGCGGGATGGTGTTGGTGAGAGAGAAAAATCACATATTTTGCTGTTTCCCAATTTCCAACATCACTATACAGACAGCAACATTGTGAGTCTAGCGTGAATTAAGACCAGCTTCGCTGTAGACGGCCACAGGACCCCAAGGGCAGCAGACAGCCCTCCTCACCTGAGACTAAAGAGGACGTTTCCACGAGGGTGTATGCGCAGCATGGTGTTCCCCACGGTCCTCTTAGGGATGCAGTATCTTTTAGAATGGACAAAAAAGATGTCACACACCCAAATCTTTTTGATCAATCTATGATCAAAAGGCATGCTTGGAAAGGAGAGCCTTTCATCCTTCCAGTAATGCCTGAGATAAAAAGTCACTGTAAAGCCCTAGGCAGAGAGAAAAAGAGACAGGTCAAAGGCAGTAGGAACATCGCTCAGGGTGACTACTCTACACCATTAACCCAGACTGATCACCATGGGTGTTAATGACCTGTAAGTGAATGGCTTATCTTCTACATTCAGGTAGATTCAGGATGAAGCTTCAGTTGTAGAGCCTCCCCCTCACCTGAACTCCAGTGAATGTTGAGAGTTTCTGGGAAGTATGGAGAATTCAAGTTGGGGAAGGGAAGCCAGTTATAACTGGGAAGCATTTCTACAAAAGCATTGTGGTACATCACCTAAAGAGATCCCAGAAGAAAAGGACCTAAAAGTCTATGCTCTACCATTTTATTTTTATTTCTTTCTTCATTGTGAATAAATATTCCCTTTTTAAGAAATCCTCACCCAAGGATGTGTTTATTAATCTTAGAGAGAGTGAGGAAGGGAGAGAGAGAGAGAAACATCAATAGGTTGCCTCCCATACAAACCTTGACCAGGGATCCAACCCTCAACCTAGGTATGTGCCTTGATTAGGAATTGAACCTGCAAGCTTCTGGTGCATGGGACAATGCTCCAACCAAGTGAGACACCTGGCCAGGGCAATATTCACTTTTATAACTGATTTTGTATCTATAAATTTTATTATTTTTGTTAAAGAATCATATTCCCCTACCCCCCAAGTTGAATAAACCACAGTCCCACAAAAACCTAGATACAACATGTATTAGAGCTGTTAGTGGAAAGAAGCTGTCAAAGGTCCTAGGACCGAGGCAATGATTTTCCTCAGCTAGAGACACAGAAAGTAAGTACCACAAAATGGTGGTTCTCAAATTCAGGTGTACAAAAGAATCACCTGTAAATTTGTGAAAATGGCATGTTCTCTAGAAGTAAGTTCTCAGTACGGCTTAGGAATTTGAATTGTTAATGTGCACTCTGGGTAAAGGGATAAAGATGAGGGGAAAAGCTATATTAACATCATGTTAGCAGACAAAAATTGAGTTAGTCAATAATTTGAGTTTTGTTTGGCTCTCACATGATGTATTTAATATTTTGTTTGTTTGAATAGAAACTCTCCAAGCTTCATCCAAGTCATTGGGTGTGGACAATGACAGTGTTTCACTTTTCACAACTATTTACTTTTTAGTATCATGCATTTCCCAACAATACTTAAAATTCTCTTGAATTAACACAAAAGAACTTGGACATTAAGCAAGCAAAGGAGAAGTCTCACTTAGTAAGCTACAAATAAGTCACCAATTAATTATGCACTACTTTGCTTTTTAAAGATTCATAATGGGGTACATTGTATTATTTCTCTGGCTTAACCTAAGAGTATCAATATGTGTAATTTTGGATTACGATTAAAGTGAATAAACAGAATGACTCCATCATTACCATATCACTACTCTGCAGGGAATTGTGTGGGTTACTTACTGCCTAGATTGCTTTAATAAGCACATCTATAGAATCAGATGCTCAACCTGATCTGAGGGTCACTGGGCAAACTCCGAACCTATAAAGTTGAATGGCAGGCACTGGGGCACATCAGTGATACATCGAAGTCACCATTATTTGGAACTCTCATGAGAAGCAGGCGGAACAGCATGTTGGAAGAAGAGCAGGACAAAACTTGCAGGGATTGAAAGTGAATTCACCATGGGAAAAGAGAGGGTGGGAAGATGATAAATGAGAAGCTAAAGAAGCCAACACCAGTGGTCACTGATCATGAGAAAGGCTTTTGAAATTCGGCATGCACAGCCTAGTCCAGTTTTAGCTGATAAGGAGCACCAAAGCTGACCTTGTTCAGGGGAGAGGAATGAGGTTCAATTGGGGGGCCAGCAGAATGGAGACAATGTGAATTTTTGTGCATATTAGGTCATTCAGGGATGATTTAGATTAACCCCAGAGAGGGGAAATGAGAGAATGTTCCTGGAGCACAAGAGTCCCAAGGAAACGCGGGGGAAAGCTATCTTCCGGCCGGAAGAGCTGACACTTCCTAAACAAGGCGTGACGGGTGCTGTCCCCATTAGGAGTGAGGCAGTCAAAAGGGAAGGAATTTCATTTAAGACTCGACAGTGAACTGAAATAAATATTAAATTAGGTAATGATAAGGACTAAAAGGATATTAGGTAAAGAATGTAACAAGATTTAACAGGCCTTAGAAGATTTCAGACCCAGCTGGAATTTTTCTGTATCCAGTGATTTTTTTCATTCAGTTATTGTTTGGATAACAATAGCTAGTTGGAGGAATCACTGTAAATAAAAATGTTAGTTAAGATACATATGAAAAGATTATTTGACCTTACAATGTAAGTAATTTATCATTTCTAGGTCCTGCTTCCTTAAGAAATCCCTACTGCTCTCTTCCTCTCTTTTTTTCTTCTTACATATCTATCTTTAATTGTGGTATTTGCATATAAAACAGTATATAACAAAACAAAAACAGTATATAAAATCTAAATTTCAAAGCTTAATTCTATGAAAAACACTCTATATAAGTTACAGTTTATACATCAAAAATACTTCTATTTCAAAAACTATCCCAAAGCAACTTTTGAAAATTTCACAAGAACACACATATAAAAGATTCCAGAGAAGTGAATGAAATGCAAGGATTAACACATATAACAATGTATATGAAATGACTAAATTGAATAAACAGCAAACTAAATCTTTCCATATGCAAAGAAATGAAAGTATTGGGTTTGTCAAAAAGTTCATTTAGTTTTTTCCATAAAATAAAACATATTTTTCACCAATAACTTTATTGATTTGCATACTTTGAGTATGTTGGCTATTTCCTGCTACTGGTTTCTAGTGGGTAGAGGCCAGGGGTGCTGCTAAACACCTTCCAATGTATAAGACAGCCCCACAGCAAAGAATTGTTTGGCCAAAATGTCATTAGTACCAAGAAACTTCACAAACCACTTTTGACTCATTCACTCTGTCACAGCACCTTCTCCTCCATATACTGTACTGCACAAAATTTTTTTGTGATTCAGTTGCATTTTTAACTTTCTTGAAATAATAAAACATAATACACTAAAAATATTGCCTATCTTCTTTTACAGTATTAAAATGGCTGCACAAAAATGCACTGATTTTGATAAGATTTTTTTAAATGCATGCTGATATGACAGCTGTCACAATACAACCTAACAAAATAATTTCAAATGAAGTTAAAGGCAACTAAGCACTACTAGAGCCATCATCTGGAAAAAATGTAACAGACTTTTTGGCCAACCCAAAAGTTTAAATCCTCTCTATTCTTGGAAGAGGTATTCCCTGATTTTACTTTTACTGCCTCCTCCCCACCCCCCCCCCAAAACAAACAAGCTTCTATAGTTAAAGTAGAAAATTAAGAACAAGAAGCAAGGCTTTGGTTTTGGCTAGGGGTTGCCACCTCAAATGACTGCCAGGGCCAGGTGGGCAACAACAGTAAACAAAGCAGGATGATTCTAAGAGAAAAGCCAGGCCTGGGGGCCAGGGCAAACGAAAAGGCACTACCCCCTCTGAAGGCATTCACAAGTAAGTTGTTTAATACTTTGCAGGAAAGTCAGAACAAAGCGTTACAACAAAGTCCAAAACTGAAACCAAAACCACAAACAAAACATATTCAAAGCTGCATCTTACCAGTGAGGGCCCTTGTCATTAACAGTTGCACATAGCACAGCGCTGATAGGAAAGAAAAGAAATGCAGCCACAGGACATGATAGAAAAGACCGCACAACTGAAGAGAACAAAATTAAATGGAAAGAGTAACTCATATATAAGAATATGCATCATTTAGGTAAGAACATGGAAATAGACATTGAAATTTAAACTATAAAGCACTCTTTATTAGGCATAAAATATATTAAAATGGGCTTCACAAAGTTCTGAGAAATTAATGAATTAACAGAATAGTAGTAGGTAAAAAGGAAATGTATCTTAAAACAAATAATGTATATGCTTGTGCATATAAGTTAGCCATGTAATAAATGTTATTTTTTAAAGTAAAATCCTGAAAAACCATAAAATTACTTAAATTAAAAATGGCTCTGGTGATTATGTAGACAAGGAAGGTAATTCTAAGAAGTAGAGAAAATAAAATGGAAACATTATAGTAGGGAACATTAAAACTTAAAAATAGCTAAAATGATTAAAAGAACAGATTAGGGGGAAAGGAAGAGGAAACAAAAAAGCAAGATAGCCCTGACTAGTATGGCTCAGTTGGCTGGGTGTTGTCCCGCAAAGCTAAACGTTGTCAGGTCGATTCCTGGTCAGGGCACATGCCTGGGTTGTAGGTCTGGCCCCTGGTCAGGGCAAATGCAAGCAACTGATTGATGTTTCTCTACCTCTCTTTCTCCCTCCCTTCCCTTCTCTCTAAAAATAAATACAATAAAATCTCTTTTTCAAAAAAGCAAGATATACAAAAATGACAAAGAAGACAAAAAGGCTGAAAGGATGGTTGAAGATCATAACAGCTAATCAGTTTGATGTTTTAGGGACAGTGTTTGCAAAAAATACTCCATGAAAATACAGATATTCCACTGCAAAGTAAAATAATGGCAGTCTTTTCTAGAAAGTATAAGGGAATGGACCAAATTTTCTTAATTTAATTTTTTAGTTCTCATGAATTAAAAAAAATCTTTTGTCTTCTGCTATTGGTTGTCTACAGATAAGCAAAGTTAATATTAATTGAAACATTTTAAAGCAATCCATCAAGTGTGGTTTCACTGTCTACCATTTTATGGATAGGGATCCTTGGCTGTGATTTCTTATTTCCTATACATGATGATCATCCTTTCTTCTTGCACTGTTGTCCCTGGTTCATGTTACATAACTAAATATATCATGTTGTCTCACAGCACCCCAACACTACAAAACCATTAGAAGGAAAAGAGAATAGGAAAGGAATAGAATTGGAATCAAGGGCAGAAAGAAGTGGATAGAAGACCGTAAAGCAACTGCAACTCCATTAAGCAAAGTAGGAAAAACAAATGATATACATAATTAAAATGATCTGTAAAAAAATACCAGTGAGTTTTTGACATTATTGAGTCTCTATCCTTTCAGAAAAAGACCAATATCCCATGGAGAAACTTACCATGTTAACTTCTGAAATGCTGTCAGTGCTTTTAATCTGGGTGTCTATTCCCACTGGCACTGGAGAACTTCAGAAAGAAGAACAAGTAATACACTGAGAAGTTATTAAAACTGTTTTGCAAACATTCAAAGCAGAGAGACAGCAATGTTGTAAATATATTTTCAAGTTTCTTAACAACACATTTCTCCATTATTTACTGATACATTATTATGTATTCAATTGTAATAGTAGAGGCATGTGTATAAATAAATGTTATTCCAATAATCATTACACATTTGCTTGGGAACCATTAAATATTTTCCTTCTTATAGTATACTTATAGTACAAAAGTGGTATTTCCAGTTTTTTGGTTTTGGGTTTTTTGTAATTGGTGGCAATTTGAAAAGGAAAAACATTTTGATAACATTGTCTAACAGTATGTAGAATTCTGTATTTTTTATGGTGAATGGTTATATTTTATAGTCAGGAAATGGAGATGTCATAGAGTTCATGACTCTAAAAATCTGGAAGCCTCTACTCACCTGCTAAAAGACCAGCCTCTTTCACCTGGGCAGTGCTTGGCAGTAGGCAGAAAAATGATGATAGTACGATGCACAGGGACACTGCACCCTCAGAAATGGCCCTTCCCAGATCATTACTAACCACAGCCTGCATTTGGGATGAAACAAACTTTCTGAGAAATGCATTTGATGGGAATATACTGAAAGTCAGAAACTGGAGCAACTTCAGACAGAGAACTCCTGAGCTTTGTTGGCAGCTGGGTCTCAGAATCAGCTTCCTGGACCCAAAGAATCTGAATGATGATGCAAAAGAATCTAGTCCAGGCTGAAACCAAAGGCATTTCCTTGTTACACTTCACAAAGGGTTTCACCAGTTCCTGTGTGAGGGGATGCTGATGTTAATAACTTCACTATTTAGTATTATATATGAAATTTAATGCATATATATGCTAAAGTAATTTATATATTTATACACATAGTCTTCATATATTTTCTTTCCATAGTGACCAATTCTCAATTAATTTTTTTTGTCTCTGTACAGTCTCAAGTTTAAAAAAACACTTCCAACTATTGTGGAAAATAGAAATCTTTCTTCGATAGATCCCAGGTGGCTATTTTAGTTAAAATTCTGGGATTTCAAAGAGTGAGGTCAGAAAAGCTTTCTTACTGAAGGTCAGTTAATGCCTGGATGTGCTATGTGTGACACAGAAGTGCATAATTCAATAAAGCACCTAATTGTTGTGTTTTAAATGCACAAAACATTATAAAATGATATATGCCTTGCCAGTCTCTGTCCACCATCTATGACTTCCCCATTAATTGGGTCATGTTACCTTCACTTTATCGAGATAGCTCCCCTTTTCTCTTCAATAAGTCTGTACCCTCCATATCATTCCTTACAGCTGGCCAGGCACTGGGCCTGTCACTTGAATATATTTCTGCTTCAGGTTGAAGGAGTACCTTACTTGCATTTTAACCACCAGCTACTTCCTGCCACATTGGATCAATTATTTTCTACGTTAATAATGACAATTCTGTAAATAATATTGTTTATGAACTTCCAGCCAAGATGGAGGCATAAGTACCTATGCTTTGCTTACTCCCACAACCAAAAGAAGGACAACAACAAATTAAAAAAAAAAAAGCAGAACTGCCAGAAAATCGAACAGTATAGAAGTCTGACAACCAAGGAGTTAAAGAAGAAATATTCATCCAGACTGATAGGAGAGGCAGGGATGGGCAGCCTAGGTGGAGAGGGTGCATGGAAAGGAGGCAGGCCAGGCCAGGAAAGGCAATGGCTGACCCACCAGGTGATCCCACAGTCACCAGCAGATAAGCCGAGAGGAACAACTGGGGAGCAAGACAGGAAACACAACCCAAGGTTCCAGCATAGGAAACCAAAGCCCCAAAACTTCTGGCTGGCCCTGGCTGGTATGGTTCAGTGGATTGAGTGCTGGCCTGTGAACCAAAGGGTCACTGGTTCAATTCCCAGTCAGGGCACATGCCTGGGTTGAGGACCAGGTCCCTAATAGGGGGCATATGACAATCAACCACACACTGATGTTCTCTCCTTCTCTTTTTCCCTTCCTTCCCCTCTCTCTAAAAAAATTAATAAATAAAATCTTAAGAAAACAAAATAAAACTCTGGCTGTAAAAATCTGTGAGGGCTGCAGTGGCAGAAGAAACTCCTGGCCTCGCAGGAGAGTTTGTTGGTGAGACCCGCAGGGTCCTAGAATGTACACAAATCCACCCACCCAGGAATCAGCACCAGAAGGGCCCAATTTGCTTGTGGGTAGCAGAGGAAATTATTGAAAGTCTGCAGAGAGCTGAGCAAGCACCATTGTTCCCTCTCTGACCCCTCCTCCACAGACAGCATTACAACATAGAGAAGTGGGTTGCTCCGCCCTGGTGAATACCTAAGGCTCCACTCTTTACAATATAACAAGTGTGCTGAGACAAAGAAATATGGCCCAAATGAAAGAACACATCAAAACTCCAGAAACAGAACTAAGGGGTGAAGAGATAGCCAACCCATCAAATGCAGAGTGCAAAATACTGGTAATCAGGATACTCATGCAAATGATTGAGTATGGATGCAAAATAGAGGAAGAAGTAAAGGCTATATGAAGTAAGATATAGAAAGATATATAGGGTGTCACAGGTTCAATTCCCAGCCAGGGTACATGCCTGGGTTGCAGGCCATAACCCCCAGCAACTGCACATTGATGTTTCTCTCTCTCTCTATCTCCCTCCCTTCCCTCTCTAAAAATAAATAAATAAAATCTTTAAAAAAAGAAAAAGAAAGATATATAGGTAACTGAAAGTAAAGGGAAGGAAACAGAGACTCAAATCAATGATTTAGAACAGAAGAAAGAAATAAACATTCAACCAGAACAGGACAAAGAAACAAGAATTCAAAAATTAAGCAGAGGCTGAGAAACCTCCAGAACAACTTTAAACATCCCAACATTCAAATCATAGGGGAGTCAGAAGGAGAAGAGGAAGAGCAAGAAATTCAAAACTTATCTGAACAAATAATAAAGGAGAACTTCCCTAATCTGGCAAAGGAAATAGACTTCCAGGAAGTCCAGGAAGCTCAGAGAGTCCCAAAGAAGTTGGACCTAAGGAAGCATACACCAAGGCACATCATAATTAAGTTACCCAAGATTAAAGAGAAGGAAAGAATCTTAAAAGCAGCAAGAGAAAAGAAGACAGTTACCCACAAGGGAGTTCCCATAAGACTATCAGCTGATTTCTCAAAAGAAACCTTGTAAGCCAGAGGGGCTGGAAAGAAGTATTCAAAGTCATGAAAGGGAAGGATCTCCATCCAAGATTACTCTATCCAGCATAGCTTTCATTTAGAATGAAAGGGCAGCCCTGGCTGGCGTAGCTCAGTGGATTGAGCGCAGGCTGCAAACCAAAGCATCGCAGGTTCGATTCCCAGTCAGGGCACATGCCTGGGTTGCAGGCCACAGCTCCCAGCAACCGCACATTGATGTTTCTCTCTTTCTCTCTTTCTCCCTCCCTTCCCTCTCAAAAAATAAATAAATAAAATCTTAAAAAAAAAAAGAATGGAAGGGCAGATATAGTGTCACCCAGATAAGGTCAAGTTAAAGGAGATCATCATCACCAAGCTCTTATTATATGAAATGTTAAAGGGACTTATCTAAGAAAAAGAAAATCAAAACTATGAACAGGAAAATGACAACAAACAACTATCAACAATCGAACCTGAAAAACAAAAACAAAAGCAAACTAAGGAAACAACTAGAATAGGAACAGAATCACAGAAATGGAGATCACATGAAGGGTTATCAGCAAGGAGGGAGGAGAATGGGGGAAAAGGTACAGGGAATAAGAAACATACTTGGTAGGTACAAAATAGACAGGAGGAGTTAAGAATAGTATAGGAAATGGAGAAGCCAAAGAACTTATATATACGACACATGGACATGAACTAAGCCGGGGTGATACTGGTGAGGGGGGGGGCAGTGTAAGGCGGAGGGGAATAAAGGGGAGGAAAAAAAGAAGACAACTGTAATAACATAATCAATAATATATACTTAAAATAGTAATATTGTTTAATGACAATTATGATTAAGCATTAACCTGGGAACAACTTGATATTGTTTCTTTATAGGATTCAGCTCCGATGCTTTGTTTGCCTTTCTCCTTAATTAGTAGGGATATCAGAATAAAAATTCATGCAAATATCTCATCCATGGCTCCACTTGACCTTTCAGTATGAGTAAATTTTCCCCTCAGTTCCATTATTCCAAGGGAATGAAAGATGTGGAGAGGTCTTGGAGAAGCAGCAGAATATCCTGAATAAAATTCTGGCATTAGAGTCTCAGACTAGAGTTTGAACCCAGCTCCACCACTCATATTGACCTAGGGTAAACAACATCTCTAAGCTTAGCTTCTCACCTATTCAACCCAAGTTGTACTATCACTGGAGACTCAATGGAGGACTGGGAATAATACAGAAGTAAACTTAATTGGTGCTCAATAAATGACACTCGATAAATGTTAATGCTACTGAAATTTGGCAAAAATGTGAACGTCTCCCTAGAAATGTATTCCCAATCTACACTCAAATATTTAGATAATCAGTTCACTTCTCACTGAAAAAATGATACAGAGCTTCTAACAATGCACATATTTTATGACAGAACCTGAGAACAACTTGGATTTAGTATCTTGTGACTTTTAAGTATGTCCTAGTAGCTGATAACTGTCTGCAAGCCTGGGGAAATCCTATAAAGCCACCATAGAATGGCACATTCATGGCACATTGGACAAGCACTGAGCCCTCAGGGTTGTTGGAAGGCTAGTCTGAAGTGGGGTAAAAATGTGGCTTGTCCATTAGTAACGGCTTCCTGGAAACATCTTAGATTCCTTCTTTCCTCCCTCTGATTTGTACTGTTGTTGTGGGGATGAGCTCTTCTCTTTGCAAGTAAACTGTTTGCCTTCGGACGTCATCTGACCTCATATTTTTATCCTTTGAGTTCCATGTTTGTGTCAGTCTTGTTCTTGGCTCTAGAAAGCGATACTGTACCCTGCCATTCTTGAGGACAGAACAGAGGGTGAGGGGCAAGTAAAAGCAAGATGCAGAAGCATAAAATTTTGGAGCTGGATAAAGCTTATTCTTTTTACAGATAAAACACTGAGTCCCAAAGAGAAGGTGGCAATCAAGCACATAGGTTTAAAAAATAGTGGAATTTGTAGCCATATAAACCTGAGTAAAAGTCAAACTTCTGCAAATCCCTTACCTTCTCAGTCTGCTCCTCTGTAAAAGCGGGGAAATAAACATACGGTCCCTCCCTAATAGGGCTACTGCGAGACTAAAACAAAGAGTGTGCGTCACATTTTCGCCTATTCCATTCAAATATCCTAACCAACTTATTCGGTACCAATGGGATCGGTGATACACATAACAGCATTAATAGTAACTATTTGATAAGTACCATTAACTCTACACAGAAAACATTTGAAATATAGTAAAAATTAAATGTTAACCATTAAGATTACGGTGTTGTTCTACCAAGATCACTAACTAGGTAGTGGCACACACATTTATAGTCCTTTTTAAATACATCAATCTGGTTCATATGCATACTGGGACAAGGAAAGTTAAATGAAAGTTACACATCTGATGTGTATAGTGCATTAAAAATACATCATGTAATATACTATCTCATGTTCTCGTTACAGCCATTTGCTGGTTAGCAAGGCAGAGCCGACTCAGCTCCACTTGACGTGGGAGGGAAGTCATGCTCAGAGGGGTCAGAGACCCCGCCTGACATCTAAAGCTGGTTAAGGCAGGGACCTCATCAGGTCCTCCAGCTCCCCGCCCAGCCATCCTGTCTGACTACACACTCAGCTTTTACAACTTCAGCTTTTGTTTTGACTTGGGAGCCAGTATCTAGATGCTGAATTGATTTCACTTCTTAAAAAAAAAAACAAAGAAATCATCATCTGTAAAACTAAAACAGAAAACCCTTAGTTATGGCAGTTGTACAAAGGGTAGGGAAAACATAAATAAGGAAAATGAGCCACAATTTATAACCCAAGTTAAACAAAAACTCCCCTAAATTTATACCCTCCTGTTTCCACATAATGAGCCAATTAATCTTCTCGAGCTTTATAAAAGTAAAAAGCACTGCAGCAGCAGCTGGTTTTAATGTTAAAGCTAATTAGGAAAACACATTAAGGCAAGAGAAGTGCTGAAGTTACATTTAGCTCGAGAGGAAAAAAAAGTATGTGCGTGTGTTTGTGCTATGGACAAGTATAAGGAAAGAAAAGATAAATTAGAGCTTGTCTTTTATTTCCTGCCATCTCATTTCTTCAGGAAGGCAGCCTTGAGAGAAGACAGAAAGGGGTCACTGGTATAAGAAGCTGTTCTGACCAAAACAAGAGAAGATTAAGGAATATGTTTCACAGAGCTACCGCTCTGACACCTCTGACTGAACGTGTGGGTTTTCTGCCTGGACACACAGGCCTTTCGGACACCCCTTAGCCCCAGTCCATGATTGTCAGAAAAATTTCTTAATCGTGGGATTATTTGCTACCTAACACTGGATAGCCCATTTTAATTGCATTTTCAATAACCCTACAAAGTAGCCTGGAGGGGGAGAAATTGTATTCTTTAAAAAAAAGCATTCTCACATAAAAAAAGAACTTTAAGTGTATCTGTAGCCCATCAAGATAATTGGCAATTAAGGTCAATGTCATGTTTTTCTGGGGAATGGGGATGATACAGGAAAGGAGAATGAAGGCATCAATGTTCTAAAATAAAAGCAGTGGGCACTTAGTAATCTGCAGCAGTGTTTCTCAAATAGTAAAATGTATTTGTATCATCTGGGGATCTTGTTAAAGAGAAGATTTTTATTCAGAAAGCCTTGGGTGGGACCTCAGTTTCTACATTTCTAAATGACTCCCAGGTGATTCTGCTGCTGGTCCTTGAACTACTTTGAGTGACAAAGCCTTTCTAGCGTGTTTTTGTCTCAAGGTTCAAATTCAAGGACACTTATTTCTCTCTCGATCTTTCTTTCAATGGTATAAAATAGACCCACAGAAACCCTTTCCTTTGGGATAGGAATTCATTTAATTGAGGAACCTAACCCAACAGGAATTAGAGCAGGTTTGGGAGCTGGTATTGAAAGAGAGGCTGTGTGTTATTTTGAGCTTCCAACTGCTGCTCGGGAGATGCCAGTTCCAAGTCATTCCTGTGAGATTGGCGCCCCTTGTGGTTGAAAAGACCCATAGCCAGGTAACTTAATCATAAGATTTTCACCAACTAAATGGTAGTAGGGGAAAGAGTTTAGATACTTTTTATAGAATCATAGAGACAAGGTATAGAACACCTGTGTGATAGTTGTAGTGTATATTATCTAAACATTGGGAAAATTTGGTTGGGGGAAAGAAAAGGATCTATCGAGAATGGTTGTTAAACCAGGCATATTTAGGAAACCATGGTAAGGATGACACATTTAAGAAGTAGGGGTCTAGGGTGGGCAGGCTGGAATGGTAGTAAAAGGCAGAAAACTGTACTTAAACAATGATTAAAATTAAAAAAATTAAAAAGAAATAGGGGTCTAAAGAAAAAGAAGAGAGAGAAATAGTATTATAAGTAAAAAACAGACACATATGCAAACCTGATAAATTTCAAGGCTTTTAAAGTCTTAAATTAGATTCAATAACTGTGAGAAATTCTCTATAAATACAAAAATTAAACTCACCAAGATTTAATCTGTTGTTGATAATCTAATGTAGTAGTTATCAAATATGGCTCTCAGGCCACTGCTGCCAGGAGAAGCAGCATCTAGGAGTTTATTACAAATGCAAATTTGGGGACCCACTCATATTTAGTGAATTTAAATTTGGGGTAGTGGGGCCCAGTAACCTGTGTGTTAAGAAATGCTCCATGTGGCCCTGGCTGGTGTAGCTCGGTGGATTGAGCACAGGCTACAAACCAAAGGGTTGCCAGTTCGATTCCCAGTCAGGGCACATCCTGGGTTGCAGGCCAGGTCCCCAGTTGGGGGAAAATAAGAGGCAACAATTTCACACATCAGTGTTTCTCTTTCTCCTTTCCTTCCCCTCCCTCTAAAACTAAATAAATCAAATCCAAAAAAAAAAAAAGCTGAAACTGTCCTACTGTTGGAGGATACTGCTTTCTCACCTGCACATTCACTTTTCTTCTGTCCACACATCTATATATTCTGAAAATTGTGGGAGTGGGAGACTTAGGTCATGGACAGAAGAGTCCAGGAAGACTTGGCAGTAGGGTGGAGGGTTCCGTGTAAAGGGCCGATTTCACCAAATCCTTTGTATGTGTGGAAAATGTGGCACTCTGATGGGTACGTGAAACAACCTGAGGGGAGGAAAGACTTTGTTCCAAGTATGTACTTCTCATATGTGGCCTTCTTCTGCACTCCTTACCTGCCATTGCATCTTGCTTCTACCAAGGACTGTTTGGTTGTTGTTTTTTGTTTTGTTTTGTTTTTTCTTATGGCCTTGAGCAAATCTCTTAACCTCTCTAAGGCCCAGTTTTCACACTGGAACATTAGGGACCATGACAGTGTCTACTTTCTAGGGTCACTGTGAGGGTGGAATGAGTGAGGGCACATTGCCTAGCATGCCAACATTTAGATCAGTCTTCCTTACTAAAAGTGATCAAAAGAAAAAATCTCAGCATAGTTGTTAAGAAGGGAACCAGGCATCTGGCATTCCAGTTCTTCCATGATAGCCTGATGTTCCAGCTTATGAGTGTATTCAATAAGATTTTATAAATATCATCATGTAATCTAATTTATAATTTTTATAAAGGTTTTATTTATTTCTTTAGAAAGAGGGGAAGGGAGGGAGAAAGAAAGGAAGAGAAACATCAGTGTGTTGTTACCTCTCACATGGCCTCCACTGGGAACCTGGCCCACAACCCACGAATGTGCCGTGACTGGAGTCGAACCAGCCACCCTTTGGTTCGCAGCCCGTACTTAATCTGCTGAGCTACATCAGCCGGGGTTACAATTTTTAGTTGAAACAAGTTGGTGTATAGGCAGGATATATCCATTCATTATTTATTGAACATACACTGTTTATACAACTAATAAATAGTATGGATATTTGCTAAAGATATTTCTCATTTTGGGTCAATTTGCAATGCATAAAGACAAAATAAATTACCAATTGTTCTCATTCAAGAGAATATCATTGTAAAAGGTTTTTCTTTCTTTTTTAAATTAATGGCCTTTACTTGTGTTTGGGTATTTATTGCTTTAAATTTTCAACTTCATTTTGACAGCGCAATGGATTGTAACATAAGAGCTTTGTAAAGAAAATGCTCCCCTCCAAATCCAAGTCTCACTGCAAAATCGCGGTCCTCTGTGTAGAGAAGTTGCTCATATGTCAGGGGCCACATTTTGGTGCTATTGCCTTTCCTCATTCCGGTTTCTTGTGTGCTGTCCCACCCAAAGGAAAAAAATACTTTTGAGATGCATATGCTTCTGGGTGTTTTGATTTAGGTTAGACTTCTGTGTTCAACATGGTATCCTCTGAAATATATACATAGAAGCTCATTTTCTCAGTTCATATTACACATAGCCAAAGCTCTGCCAACATTTACTCTTTATCATATAAGGATGTAGCAAGTACGATAAACCAAATTTTGGAGCACTTTAAATGACAAACTGAGTTTGGATGTACAGTAACACACTGACAGGCAATGCTTCTCAGAACGTGGCTTTTAGGCCAGGAAAATCTGTTCACTACCTCCTGGGTGGAGGTGATCAAAATTCAGATTCATGAGCACCACCCCAGATCACCTAAACCAGAAACCAAAAAAACGGACTTGGGAATCTGTATTAAACATGCTACTCAAGTGATTGTGAGTCACTGAAGTTAAACTACTTTTGCCCTAAGACAGTACAAAACAAATTGTAAAATTGTAAAATGATGAAAATAGAGTTTTACAAAGACAAGATAAGTAGCAAGTATGAATGTAGGTTGAAATTAGATCTAAAATCTCAGTAGTAAGTTCTAGAACTTGAGGGATGGCAATGGGAACGGAAAGAAATCCAAAGAAAAAAATGAATGGATTTGGCAATTGATTGGGCCTGATGCCTAGTCCAGTGATGAGGTAGGTAAAGTCTGTTTTCGCCTACAGTTCTCTAGAGCAAGGCAAAGTGGGACACGGCGTCTCGGGTGCGTGTAGAGGCCTGATCTGGGAGCAAAGCCCTGCTACTCTCCGGGTCTGTGAACTCTGGCAAACTGCTGGCGTAGTCTCCCTGCCTCAATTTTAGTCCTGTGACACACACTCCTCAGCGATGTTCCACAGGTGGCGCCAGAATGTCTGTGAAAGCACAGCCCCAAGTGACACATAGCAGTCAGTCTTCTTGCCCCAGGTGCTGGACACCTCACTCGGCTCCTCGTTCCAGAAAAGCACGGCTGTCCTCATCAGTGTTGTTAGCAGCAGCAGCAGCAGCAGCAGCAGCAGCAGCAGCAGCAGCAATAACACAAGACAAGAGGGGTCTGTCAGGCAAATTCGAGTTACTCTGAATTCCTGATATACTTTTACATTAATAAATGTTTTCTGCAGCAAAGAGATGTAAATTTTAACTTAAGACTTGTGGATGCAATTTCTTAACTCAGTAAACTGACTTTGATGGTGAGAATTTCACATTCTAAAGCAGCTAGTTGAAGAAATATTTCCAGGCTTAATGGACAAGTCATTACCCAGAATGTTCTTTCACTGGGGACATTTCAGGCTGAAATGCTCAGAGGTTTATATATGTATTTTTGCCAGTCATAGAAATGGGTAAGTTGGAGGGAGAAATCTGTTTTGGGTAGAAGACAATGAATTTGATATTAAACATGCTAAGTCATTATATCCTATGAATAATTAAACACATAGAACTACTTCCAAGAATATAGAATTAACTAGAAAACACCTTTCAAGGAGCTAGAATGAATTATATACTGAAAAAGTAAGAGCAGCTAGTTTTTATTAAATGCCTACTATGTTCAAGACCCCATACCAGATGTTTTGTAAATATTATATCCTTTGGCATACATCTGAATCACCTGGGTTGCTGGGCCCCAAGTCCAGAGTTTTGTATTCAATAGGTTTGAGGTTTGACCATTTACATTTATAACAATTTCTCAGAAGAACCACTGGTCTGGAAAATAGTAGACATTTAATAAAAGCTATCTAGTTATTATTTTAAGAAAATGCAGTGTAACTTTGGATGGAAACTCATGAAAATTTGCAAACTCCTTTGGTAATAAAATACAACTAATGGCACATAACTAATATATCATTTCAGAAGCATAACTCTTCACAAGATTGGAAAGGATAAATCTTAAATTAAGAATCCCAAGAATACTGAGCACAGAGCCTGCTACAAAATGCAGTTTTAGCAGTACCTGAGAGCACATGTTCTTGCCTGAGGGCTCTTTTGATGCACAGTGAGATGTCCCACATTTATTTATATTCAAATTTGTTTATACTCATCTATTTCTCAAAGAGGATTCTTCAGCTTACATACCATCTAAAAGAATTTTGAAAATCTATGTACTCTTTGAACATATTTAAGTAGATATCTACAATTTTTTTATCATAAAGTTTTTACCATATTTTTCAGACTATAAGATGCACCCCTCCAAATTTGAGAGGAATAATGATTGTTAATGATGCTGTTGATTTCTGTTTACATATACATTGGTGAAATACTTTGTTATTTATGTTATTAAATATTTTACCACATTTTTTGCTTCAAAATTGTTTTTCCTATTTTCCTCCTCTAAAACCTGGGTGCATCTTAAGGTCCAAAAAATATGGTGATTACTTAAATATTGATAGTAAAAAATAAAACTTATGTTCCTGGTTTTAATGTATCCATTGAATCTAAACACCCACATTATGCACTTTTAAATACACGAATAATCTGGTCTTTAAAAATCAGAAATTTTTTCTCATTCTTTGTTTTCTTTGAACTTGTATTTCCATTTGAATTCTTTTCTAGAATTTTATCACCCCATCATACTTCATTGCAAGGATATATGTATATACATTGAAAATAAATGTTTAATGCTTTTATAATATTATAAATGAAACAAAACATAACTCACATAAATATTGATAAATACTTAAAGTTATTAACAAAATTGTATTGATAATATATATCTTAATGAAGCAATGGTACATTATCTCCAATTATTTTTTATCTGTATATGAATATTGCTTATCACTGCAATGAAACCAGATCTACCATAAATTCTATTACTAATTTTTACTCTTAAAAATTTTTGTATTTTTGCCCTGGCTGGTATAGCTCAGTGAATTGAGTGCCAGCCTGCGAACGAAAGGGTTGGGGGTTTGATTCCCAGTCAAGGCACAGGCCTGGGACACTGGCCAGGTCCCCAGTTGAGGCACACAGGAGGAAACCACACATTGATGTTTCTCTCCCTCTCTTCCCCTCTCTAAAAATAAATAAATAAAATATTCTATTTGATTATTTTTTTATTAAGGTATAATTAACATAGTATTAGTTTCAAATATATGATATAATGATCACCCATCATATTCATGGTAACAAAAACTTTTTTCTTTTTTAAAGTATATTTTATTTATTATGCTATTACAGTTGTCCCATTTTTTTCTCCCCTTTATTCCTCTCCACCTGCACCCCTCCTCCCACCAGCATTCCTTCCCACCTTAGTTCATATCCATAGGTTGTATATATAAGTTCCCTGCTCTAGTTGTTTGCTTAGTTTGTTTATGTTTTTAGGTTCAGTTGTTGATAGTTGTAAGTTTGTTGTCATTTCACTGTTCATAGTTTTGATCTTCTTTTTCTTAGGTAAGTCCCTTTAACATTTCATATAATAAGGGCTTGGTGATAATGAACTCCTTTAACTTGACCTTATCTGGGAAGCATTTTATCTGCCCTCCCATTCTAAATGATAGCTTTGCTGGGTAGAGTAATCTTGGATGTAGGGCCTTGCCTTTCATGATTTCGAATAGTTCTTTCCAGCCCCTTCTTGCCTGCAAGGTTTCTTTTGAGAAATCAGCTGATAGTCTAATGGAAACTCTTATGTAGGTAACTCTCTCTTTTCCTCTTGCTGCTTTTAAGATTCTCCCCTCTTTAATCCTGGGTAATTTAATTATGATGTGTCTTGGTGTGTTCCTCCTTGGATCCAATTTCTTTGGGACTCTCTGAGCTTTCTGGACTTCCTGGAAGTCTATTTCCTTTGCCATATTAGGAAAGTTCTCCTTCATTATTTTTTCAAATAAGTTTTCAATTTCTTGCTCTTCCTCTTCTCCTTCTGGCACCCCTATGTTTGGATGTTGGGATGTTTAAAGATGTTCCAGTGGTTCCTCAGACTCTCCTCATTTTTTTGAATTCTTGTTTCTTCATTCTGTTCGAGTTGAATGTTTATTTCTTCCTTCTGTTCCAAATCATTGATCTAAGTCCAGGTTTCCTTCCCTTTACTGTTGGTTCCCTGTATATTTTTCTTTATTTCACTTTGTATAGCCTTTACTTCTTCCTCTATTTTGCATCCATACTCAATCATTTCTATGAACATCCTGATTACCAGTGTTTTGAACTCTGTATCTGATAGGTTGGCTATCTCTTCATCCCTTAGTTCTGTTTCTGGAGTTTGAGGGGGGGGTTGTTTGTTTGTTTTTTAAGATTTTATTTATTTATTTCTAGAGAGGGAAGGGAGGGAGAGAGAAAGAGAGAGAGAAACATCAATGTGCGGTTGCTAGGGGCTGTGGCCTGCAACCCAGGCATGTGGCCTGACTGGGAATCGAACCTGCAACACTTTGGTTCACAGCCCGCGCTCAATCCACTGAGCTATGCCAGCCAGGGCCTGTTTCTGGAGTTTTGATGTGTTCTTTCATTTGGGCTATATTTCTTTGTCTCAGCATACCTGTTGTCTTATAGGGGTGGAGCCTTAGGTATTCACCAGGGCAACCCATTTTGCTATGTCATGGTCTTCTATGTAGGGGAGAGATTAGAGAAGGAACAATGTGGCTTGTTCAGCTCTCTGCAGACTTTCAATCACTTCCTCCACTACCCACAAGCAAATTGGGCCCTTCTGGTGCTGATTCCTGGGTGGGTGAATTTGTGTACATTCTAGGACCCTGTGGGTCTCTCCCATGAGCTCTCCTGTGAGTCTGGGAGTTTCTGCCAACACCACAACCCCCACAAGATTTTACAGTGGGGGGGGCTTTTTTCTCCCACACTGGAACTCTGGATTGCATGGTCTGTCTTGCTCCCCAGTTGTTCCTCCCAGTTTATCCACACACACATGGGAATGCCTGGTCCACCAGGTGCCTCCTCTCCCAGTTGACCATCTGCCACCTCCCCGACTCTGGTCCTCCAGCCACTGCCTTGATGGGAGTCCTCTCCACCCCGGTTGTCCATCCCCACCCCTGCTACCAGTCTGGATGAACATTTCTTCTTTAACTCCTTAGTTGTCAGACTTCCATACAGTTCAATTTTCTGGCATTTCTGGTTATTTTTTTTTTAATTTGTTGTCCTTTTTTTTGTTGTGCAAGGAAGCAAAGTGTACCTACCTATGCCTCCATCTCGGCCAGAAGTCCCATTTTTTTCTTTTGGTGAGGACTTTTGAGATTTACTCTCTTAGTTACTTTCAAATGTGCAATACAGTATTATTAACTATAGTCACTATGTTGTACATTATATCCCCATGACTTATTCATTTATTAACTTAAAGTTTTTACTTTTTGACTCCCTTTACCCACTTTGCCCACCCCCTACCTCCTGCCTCTGGGAACCAGCAATCTGTTTTCTGTACATATAAGCTTGGTTTTGTTGTTGTTTTTAAATTTCACAGATAAGTGAGATCATATAACATTTGTCTTTCTCTGCCCATTGTACTTATTCCACTTAGTATAATGCCCTCAAAGTCTAGACATGTTGTCACAAATGGCAAGATTTCAATTTTTATGGCTTAATAATATTCCATTATATATCACATCTTCTTTATCCATTCATTCATTGATGAACAGCTAGGTTGTTTCCATATCTTGGCCATTTTAAATAATGCTGCTTTGAACAGCATTATTTATACTTTGAATATAAGGGTGCATATATCTTTAGAAATTAATGTTTTGATTTTCTTTGGATAAATACTCATAATGAAATTGCTGGATCATATGGTAGTTCCACTTTTAATTTTTTGATGAACCTCATACAGTTTTCCTCAGTGTCTGTGCTTCACAAATTTACATTCCTGCCAACAGTGTACAAGGGCTCCCTTTTCTCCACATTCTCACCAGCAGTTGTTATTTCTTGTCTTTTTTATAACAGCCATTCTAACAGGTGTGAGGTGATACCTCATTGTGGTTTGGATTTTTACATTCCCCTGACCCTATTTTTTAACTTGTGTAGATGAAAATATTGAAAAACTTTGTTGAAATATATGTAA